AAAAAAAAAAAAAAAATTCTGGTTCATTAAACTAACTTATTAATTGAACTAGTTAAAATAGAAGAAAAAACAGATTTTTTTTTGCGGAACCAAAACTAACTGATCTTTGACCTTTTTTTGTTCTTGATTTCAGAAGGTTTAAGAAAGACAGATGCTGCATCTGGTCAAAAAAAAATTCTTTGATAAGGTAGTTCTTCTTAAAAAAATTACCTTTTCTTTTTTAATTTGTTTGTTATGTAAGGTTAGTTTCAAACTTTATAAAGTTTTTATAGATTATTCAAAAAAAAAGAGAAGAAAAAAGAAGCAACAACAATTTTAGACAAAAAAAAAAAAAAATTGCGCAGAACAATTTGATGGAATAAAATAACTATGTTTTAATGCAATTGAAAACATTTTTTTTTTTCTTTGAAATAAAAGTTTGAATTATAAGCTAAATTTTTTTTGCGATGATATAAAATACGTTGACACAAACAGATACCACAGACTGAATATATGCATCCCATCTATGACAGTGTTGGTTGTTGTAGTAACCCAAAATAATCTTATATCAAGTCTAATTTTAGTCTATTAATACACTGATTTTTAGATTATAAACCTTTTCACTATTGTTTTTTCTGTTAATTCCAAAAAAAAAAAAAAAAAACAACGAACAATTAATAATTTAAACACACTATAAATACGGTAACCAAAAAAAGAGAAAAAAAAAGCAAAAAAAAAATACTGAAAATTGACTGAATTAATTGTTGTAAAATTTTAAACGAAGTGATGACGACGACGACGACGACGACGATAATGAGTGTGTTGAACATTTATTACAAATATTCCATCAAATTTAGGTAGGTAAATCGTCGTCGTGCTTAGGTAAGTGCTTAGGTAAGTCGTCGTCGTCGTCGTCGTCGGTACGGTTGACAGCGACACTTAACACTTCACTGTTAATCATTAGTATAAAAATATATATATATATATATTTATATACAGACGTCATGTTCGGCAGTGTTTCATTAATTATTTTTTTTTTTTGTCTACGAATAGCACATGTAATTATTCAAGCAAAAAAAAAAAAAAAAAAA